GCGTCAAGGCCATCCACCCCTGTTGATCGGCAGCAGAATCGACGGCATGATCGAACCATTCGCGATTCCAGCGTCGGACCCCGAAAACGCGAGGACCGGACATGAGTTTCATATCTGCTTTGACCGTTGCGAGCCACGTCTTGAGATGACCACCTCGGCGCTTCCTCCAACCAGTGGGTGCGTTTGGCGCCACCAGTTTACGGACGAACTCATCACTAGGTCGCCGCAGGACGTGGCCGAACCACCGGAGTCTCCTGTTAAGCAGAGTTTCTTCCAGGACCAGAATGTTGCATCTGGTGCGGATGGACGAGTTGGGGATCCGGTCGGAGGGGTGCACGCGCAGGATACGGCGGAGGCAGTAGTGATCGAAGACCTCAAGCTTATGAAGATCATCTCTGCGCAGTGGCCAGGTCTCACAACCATAGAGAAGAATTGTTCTGACCATGGCTTCGTAGAACTGCATTCCAATTTTTTGCTTTCCTGCTACCTACGATAAAATAATTTAAATGCAACGCCAATCACCATCTTCTGTCTTCCTGAAACCTGTTCTTTTTATTGTCTTTTCTCCTTACTTTTACTAGTCTTCTCACTCTTTTCACCCCCTGTAACCTAGTGGCATTACCGCCTTGCTTTGTAAATTGTGCGTAAATAATATATATATATATATATATATATATATATATATATATATATATATATATATCAATTTTTAATATGTAATCCAATGCTGGAGGGTCCGTCTACGAAACTCTGAGGTCAGGATTCTTAAGGTAACACCAATTGGCTAAGTGAAAAAATTTATATTTGTATCAAATCTATTACTACTCCATCTCTGATATCGTGCACTTTATTACAAGGATTGTTTGCCTTAAATGACTGACAGCATTTTTGGCTTCACACACACATACACATACATATTCTCTCTCCCTCTATGCATATATGTATATATATATATATATTTGAATTCGTAGGTCTGCTAAATTGTATCGTGATTACGATTCCAGTGTAATAAATCATAACCATAACCATTATATTCTTGCTCTGTCTTGTACATTGAGCTCTACCTGGATTCTATCCTCTTGGAAATATATATATATATATATATATAGAGAGAGAGAGAGAGAGAGAATGAGATACATAGATACATAGACCACTAATATGTATAAAGTCCGACAATTATTTAATATATTTTCTGTTTATACGTTATTTTTAATAGATACAATTTATTTAGGTAAATGCTCTGTTCCCCCCCCCCAAACTCTATTAATCAAATTTACCGGCCTGAATGTCGGAGAACTTTCGTAGAAAATGTGCGTTCTCCAACAGGAATCGAACCCGTGTCCTATATGCAGTCGTCATTTTATTTACGTGCTATACCACTCAGCTACAGAGAAATTACATTCAGGTCAGTAAATGTAATTAATACTTTTATTTAAAAAAAACAGAGCATTTACTTAAATTGTATCTATTAAAAATAACGTATAAACAGAAAAGATATTATGTAAAAAATTCGCAGAATTAATCTGTAGAAGAAGATAATATATATAAAGGAAAATACTATAGGAAAACTGTATATAGGTTTAACCGACGCGTTTCGTCCACTGCAGTCTTTTTTAAGGCAAAAAGGGAAATGAATTTATTCGAACAAAGTATCTATAAACAAAAACAAAACAAAATGTTGCTAGTTACCAGAAGAATTTTGAAACTCACATATATTCATTGGGTCAAATAAAAAATTACGTCATTTACTTTTTATGTTTGAAGAGAATTTTTCATATGTAGAAATATTGTTTGGATTGTTGTGAAGAAGGATTCAACCGTTTTCTTTTGATTTCGTGATATATTTGTTGTGTATGTTGGCTTGGGAGAGTAGTGATTCTGCAATCGTCAAAACTGTTCCTCACAATACATTGGAGAAACCTGCAGAAATTTAAAAAGACGCATCTATGAACACAAAAGGGAATACGTAAATACCAAATTTGACAAATGCTCTGGCCATACATAGAAATAAATTCAACCACAATTTTGATTTTAAAAATACTACACTCATACAAAAAGGAAATAATTTACTCAGAAGGAAAATCCTCGCCATTGAATATTATCCAAATATTCATCTAAGTTCCGATTTTCCCCAATCTCAACTTTCTTAATAGAACCACTACTCTCTAGGGAGATGGTTAAAAAAATCTCGCTAATGTTGTTAGTTTGACCCTCACTGAGTGCCTTATTATTCTAGCTTTGTGCCATGTTAAATTTAGTAAACAACTACTTACAATAATTTCTTTTTTCATTTCTTTCCTCTCCCATTCTTCTCGTCTTTGTTTTAACCGTGTCTCTTTTTTATTTTATCTTTTTACCCGCTTTCTCTCCTGACGTTGTGTATCATTTTTTTTTTATTAAAGCTTAATTCTTGCTTTCTATTCTATGTTTCCTTTTGTTTCCGAAATCTCAAAACGACCAGCGCCATTTTTCCTTCTTTACCGCCAACAATCCCATTCGCCTGTCTTTCAGCTCAACTCGACAAGATTGTTTCTTTTTTTCAAAACCCTCTGTAACCTTTTTCTGGCCCATCTTTCAGAGTTGGCGATACCCTCTTGGTCACATGATATATATCCACTGGGCTCAAGTCTCTCATTGAAATAAAACTTACTTAAGTACTCGCCATCTTTGCGAAGATCATTTCTTCTGCCTCCTTTTTTTTTCTTACTTTTCTTTTCATCAACGCTTAAATCAAAACGGCCAAACACCAATCATCACAGCCGGGTCATTTCTAAACATGATCGCAGTGTTAACAAAAATATATTCGAGGAAGGATTTATTGTGAAAGATGAAAAGAAAGTTTGATTGAAATTACCCAAGCGTTCGCCCTCGGTGTATTAAAGAACTTTCTAAAAAAAAAAAAAAAAGAAGAAAAAAAAAAGAAGAAAAAAAAAAGAAGAAAAAAAAAAAGAAACAAAACAAGACAGTTTTAAAGTAAGAGTTAGAGCGACTCATTTTTTAAATCACCCCGAGGCTATTAAGGCGTGGCTGAAATTCAAACTTAATTATTCCCCCTTGGACTGCATAAAAAATTATTTTATTTTACTTGTTTTTTTCTAGATCTTCATAATTTTTGTTATAGCTGACTTCTATTTTGAATTCAATTGGCGTTCGCCGTGTACTTCTTATAGTAATCTAGAAAACTATTGCCAATGAGTGTTCTACTAAGTGCTCGGGAGTTGCAGCCTTGTACCAGAATTAGACTTTGACAACATTTGTGATAGCACTTTTCAGTAAAGTTGCTGAAAGTATATTGTAGTTTTAATTCGACAACTACCTATCTCTTTATTAATAACGCACATAATACTTAATTACAAAATCTACTCTAAGAAATTCAGGCTAGAAAATAAAGCATCTAACCACTGTAGATCCCCAACCATAACCATACCTTCTAACCATTTTTATTTTCAATAATAGTTATCAGTTTTCCTTGATATTTTCAAAAGTGGGGATGCTTCGTTACCTATTGAATTAAATGACATTGCAGTTGAATGAAAATAAGATTTGGTGGGTTGCTTTTGTTCTACGCCATATCAACCTCAATGGGTTATTTAATGCCGACAAGGTTTTTATTGGTGGTAATTTTTTTCAAAAATGTATTGCTGGTAATATTTTTTTACAAAGTATTTCTGCTATTAAAACCTATTTTTACACTTTCATAGTGTTTTGACCCCAGTTTGGGGGTTAACTATTTACCCATAGCTGGGACCCTAACAGGTGCTACCACTCCGATGAAAATAGATATAGCAGCCATTTTCTAGTCGATGCATGTTCAAAGTCGATAGAATAGTGTCAGACCAATCATAATTTGCTTCTTTCTTTTTAAAAAACGTGTCTTAATTCAGTTGAATCTGTATACGAGTTACGCCCATATAAACATGTTTCAAACCATCGAACTGATTCCGTAAATGATAAGAGTCTTGTATTTGCCACAAGCCCTTGTGGCCAATGATCTGAGTTCACGGACGAGCCAGGGTTTTGAACTTTTTTAAGCTGTCTAGCCTTCTCCACAAAGAAGACTAGCGAAATACACTCTTGCTTCTTTGTACGGAATTTAGCTAAATTGAATAAAAATCTACCAATATTTGATTATTGGTTGAGATAGTTGTGTCTTTCCTCATTTTGGTTACATTGATCAGCGTTTAGCCTTGCATACTACGAATGCTAACTTTTTAGATTATTTCCAGCAATTGATGCAGCTTAATCTTTTTACACTCATCCTCATCAATTGACCATGAACTGGACTTAGTAAATATAGATTCAATTTCTATCTTTTATTTCATCTAAAAGGCATTGTTGTACGCCGTACTTGGTGTGCTTTTATCTGGATTTGTGGCAAAAGAGTACAACAATCAGAAATAATTACAGGAAAAGAAATAAATCTTAATTGACAGAATTCTTCTTTGTCCTAGAAATTTTGCTTATTGATTGATTGATTCTTTTTTCTACGACTTATCAACCCTTTGCAGGTTATTTAAAGCCAGAAAATATTTTAGATTGAATTTTCGTAGGGCGGCGTGTAATAAGGGTTTAGAGATACAAGTATTACTAATTAATCCTGTTGATCATAACCTAAATTTATAATATTGTTATTAATGTTTATTAACCTGAAATACTTAACAGTGGACAAAATGATATCACTAATTTTTGTGGATATTAATTTTAAAAAAAATTACAAAACAAAAAAAATTAATTACAAAACAAAAAAGATATATTTTATGAATACTAAAGTATTTGTTCCATATGAATATTGACTTTACTAATATCTTGAAAGAAGATTCCATAATGTACCCCAAAATTCCAACAAATCCATATCTGGAGAGAGAGAGAGGAGGTAAATACATGTCTTTTCCAATCGTACTTACGAGTAAGTGAATATAACGAACTCAACTGGAATTGGAACTCGGCTCTCCGATTAATAATTCCGAGCCACTATCCATTACACCACCCGCACATCCAAGCTTGCAGCACCTGGTATTCCCAAGCTGTCACCCATCTAGGTACTGACCAAGCCCGACATTGCTTAACTTCGATGATCGTACGAGAACCTATGTTTCAACGTGATGTGGCCATGAGCCATAAATTTTTGTATTTCACAAGATTCTATGAAAACCTGTAACATTATCATCCACTTGCTTGTGTATCTGTGTTTTATTTTGTATTGTTTTCATTGCTGACGAACATTTCTGATAAAAAGGCATTTTTCATCACAGCTCAAGGCCCCATTCATATAGCCTAGCATAAGGCCATTTAAATGGAGCACTCAATAATGAATGAACTCATTGTTAAATGAATTAATAGAGCATCTTTTACGGCCTGGAATATTTATCGGGTAGAGTGCTTGTCACTGCAAGCGGTTGAAAACGATTCTTGCGCTATACTTCCAAAAGACATCCTTACACTAAATTCAGCCGATTCATTCTTGGGCTCTTCATAAATTTCGAATTGTGACATATGTAATAAAAATTTGTATGAATTCGTGAAATTGATTAGTTATTTCAACGGCATATCAACACTTGTTGGTTTATTTAATGTCGGATATAATTCATAAGGACAAAAAAACTCATAATAAAATAAAAGAAAGGTAGAAACAGGTTCGGATTGCATTCGAGTAGAGACATAGAACCGATTATACACAAATTAAAAAAGTAGATATTGGTCTGGTTTGCACGAAAAAAAAAGGAGGCATTATCGTGTTTATATCAAAGCTTATAAGGTGCCCCCCTTGTATTTCAATTTCTTTTCTTTATTTTTTGTCCTTTCTCAGATGTATTTGTTATGCGTGTTCTTAGCGCATATACTTTTTGTATTATTAATGATTCAAGAAAACAACAAAACTCCAAATGTGAATTAACAAGTATATATTGAAATAACATACAAGAACAAAATATACAATAATTTGTATTCAATGTATAGATTAAGGGAAAAGAAGTTGCTTCCCTTTTACTGTATTTGTAATTGATTGTTCGAAAGAAAGTTCTCTTGAGAGAGAAATGTTCAGGAATCAATGTTAGAACAATTCTGCTGTTAGAATAGATAACACAAGAATACAATTGATCAGAAAATGTGTTGTGTTAGAGAAATCAACAGAGCCCTGGTTGACAGATCTTGGCTGAGTCACAGAGAGATATGTATGTATGTATGTATTACAAAATTCTGTGTCTGTGTGCGTTTGAAATATTTTCAGTAAAGTCATAGGTTTGTGTTGACAGGCGAAATTTTCTGGACTCTACTGGCGGCTTATGACAAATTTGCCTCTTTTAAAGCTACAAATAGGCTCCCAGCGAAACCGCGGGAAAAGTTGATTTTGCACTAAAATATGTGATTGGTTAAAATTTCACCAATCGTTAAATTTGTACTAACGAAACAAGTAAGCAAGTTTAAAACCGAAAAATTCAAAGCAATGACTGCGATGGCTAAATTGTCCTATAAAAAGGCAGTATAGATTTATTAGCCAATCGCAGACGAATAAAATGTGAGGGTGGAAAAACATAGCAGTCGCTACATATTGTCAAGTAATTTTTTCTTCAGTGATTTCTATAACGTACTTATCAGTTTAAATATAGGCGTTAAAATCGGCTTTATTTTGAAGTTTGAAGAATCTCTGTGATGCTTAATATTAAATCAGAAAATAAAAATAGACATTAAAATCTAATTGATAAAATAGAAAAAAAAAATCAAATATTCACTTAATGTTTTTCGGAATCACTTTTCTTTCCAAAAGAGACAAAACCAACGATGAAGTCTGATCGCATCTCATATTTCATAATTATTTAATTTAGGTTTTGGTTTTCAAACCCGAGACGGACTTGTTGGTTCGACCGTGCGCGTCGCTTCTTATCATTAATACTGAGCACATACCTCGACCTTTCGACCTTGTGAAAGTTGTCATCCGACTTCTTATCACCTGGCAAGAAATACGAGCCTTCCAAGTCGACGAGTTTGGTGGTCAAAATCTAGTGACGAGAGGGCGGTACTACATCACAAAGCCAGGAAGCAAATTGCTCGTCTGTGTGTGTGTGTGTGCGTGCGTGTATTAGCTACTGCCACACTTGTGTATAAGTGTGTGCGGGGCAGAAAGAGAGAGGGGGACAGAGGAGAAAGAAAAGTGCCAGGAACAGAGAGAGAGAGAGAGAGAGAGAGGGAGAGAGAGGGAGAGAGAGAGAGCATAAAAGTAAAAAGAATTCATAGGAGTCAAAGAATGTGTATGATATTACATAAAAATAATAAAAATAAAACATTGTTTTGGGCGACTCTGTGTATATGTGAGTGTGCTTATACAGATAAGACGTCTGTAGAGTAAATGGCAAAGGCAAAAATGTAACTGGCAGAAATGCCCCCCAAAAAAAAAAAGACAAATAAACAATAACCAAAAAAAAAAAAAAAAAAGAAAAAAGAAAAGAACAGGGCAATAATATTAAGGAAACAATATAGGCAAGACAAAAACCACCCACATTACTTCCGTATTCCATCGGCGTGTAACAAGTTCCACTCGAGCAGCTTCTTCCCACGAAACCCTGCCCTGTGGAACCGACTCCCAAGAAGATGTTTCCCCGATCACTACAATCTTAACCTGTTCAAGTCTAGTATTAACCGTTATCTTCTACGCACAAATTGCCTCCTTTACATCGAGTGGCTCCCGAGTCTTGAAAAGGTGAACCTTACTGTAAAAAAAGAAAAAAAAACAAGTAGGCAAAGCAACAGTAATGAGGTAAATGTTTACAAAACTAACACTGGTGTTAACACACAAAAGGGGATACAAACAAGCGATCGCAGCGTTCTTGCTTCACTACAAGAAAGAACAGAAGTACGTCGGATGAGACCAGGAAGTGGCCTCTCTTATTGGCTAGGAAGAAATAAATTTGTATGAAGATGTTTTTGCAGCCATTCACGCAGTGATTAGAACCAACAACGTCTGCTAAAGAGCGACGGCTAACAAGCAATTTGCGTTAATTATTCATTAGTATACTGACTTTCATACCTTACTAACAGACCCTATAAGCATTGGCCCTGACTCAAACATCGTAATTTTTCTTCTCTCTTGCTCTTTTTATCACTTGTTTTTTCTCACCATTTTTTCTCTCTCTCATTCTCTCAAAACATAAATATATGTAATGGATCTTTAATAGGACATTATTTCTTATCAATTTTTATACTATGTTATATTTTATTGGTTACACGGAAACCATCACAAGAAAGTAAGACTCCTGTACCCTATTAAACAATGAACTGGGACATTTCAAACGAAAATAATTTTAGTAGCGATAGACTTCAAGAAGTTTCAACGATAGATGTGCATTTCTTAACAGGGGAGCTGAGCTTTGTTTTGCCGTGATGGTTTACCGTAGCTTAATGGTAGATCACACTTGGTTTAAAAGTGATTTCTTAAATTAAAAACTTATAAAAAAGTATAAATTCGCTTCCTATTGGAAGGTACATTTGGTTTAATATGACTTTCGATCTCTAGATCGATAGACATCGATTTTGTTGTTAAAGAAAACAGTGACGCCTAATCAAACATGTCTATCCACTAATATGCCGTTTAGAACAACAATATATATATATATATATATATATATATATATATATATATATATATATATATGTCTGTAATATGTGTGTGCGTGTGCGTGTGTGTATTTGGCCAGCAATCCCGCTTGTATGCAAGTTTCCTTGAAAACTGACAAGGTGCGGTAGTTGAGTGTTTTATAATTTCTCATGTGTTCGCATATTTTTTTTCTTTTCAGAACATAAACTATATAAAACTTGTCCGAATGTTTTACAAGCGCTTTCGGCTATACATTTTGCTATTATCAAGGATTAATTTTATACGGAATATATCAATTATTTTATGTATGTATCTAGAGTTATAGGGATGTTTTATTTCCAAACACGGTCAGCACATTGTGGCCGTGTTCATAGTTGATATTATTGAGCGTTGGTGTTTTCTTTTTTTTTTATTAATAATACTTCCATTATTTTTAGCCTTTTTGTACATGTGGATGATGGTATTATATTTGTATTGTCATCGAGTATGTTGCAGATAGAAAGGTTCCCAACCTTTCTAGGTACAAATACAATAGAACGTGCTAAATGAAACATTATTCAAGCAAAGAAAATCCCTGGGAAGCTATAAAAGTGTTGTAAGTAATGTTAAATTCGAACAAATATGAAAAGGAATAAAATATATGAAGAACTTACTAAGGTTACAGAACTGAAAACTACGTCATGTTAGCTTATAAAATAGAAAAAATAATAATTTATTCAGGTAGATGGAAGATTGTGTCCGTCAAATATTTCTAAAGCTTATTTATATAATATTATATATATATATATATATATATATATGTGTGTGTGTGTGTGTGTGTGTGTGTGTATGTATGTATATACATATACAGGGTGTCGATAAAGTTCGTGTGCACTTTAAAAAAATTATAACTTTATTTGTATTTGCGATAGAAATAATCTGTAAAAAATGTTATGAAGTTTAATGTACCTAGTTTTAAGTATAGCTAAAATTACTAATGTGATTTCAGGCATTACTGTAAATCAGTTGGCAAACGTTTTCCGTGAGCTGCAATATCGTATTATCTTTTGTATTGCTAATGATGGAGGAAATGTGGAAACTTAAATAAAATTTCAATAAAACATTAAAATATATAGATTTACTTCTTTCTAATCCTTTTTACAAATTATTTCTATCGCAAATACTAAAAAAGTTATAAATTTTTTAAAGTGCACATGAACTTTATGGACACCAGCATATATCTATATCTATATCTATATCTATATATATATATATATATATATATATATATATATATATATATATATATATATATATATATATTTTTTTATATTAGCTTATAAAATATAAACAAATAATTTATTCTCATATATGGAAGATTCTGTCAGTTTCGATTCCGGCTTGAAGAAATCGGATGTCTAGCCACACTGATATATGATAATCATTTTCACACAAGGGATTATGTAACGTAATGATTGACGTTGTACTTAAACTTCTGAAGAACAAAGTTGACTTGGAAGCAAGAATTCAAGAGAACGTTCCACG